ACTACAAACGTGAGTGTGAGAGAAAATTCATTGTCCTCTTAACTCTGAACAGTTCTATAGAAGAACTGAAGGATCCGGAATTGTCTTGAAAGACTGTGGACCTTTCCTTGAAGTACTTTTCGACGAAAAGCATGTAATTCTATTCAGAAGTGCCCTGAAATTCTTCCATCATCGTCAAAGGAACAAAGTTAATTAGGAGATAATTTTGAACTTGCCTCCTGATGGCAAAACAAATAATAAGAAGAAAATAATTCACTTTCGACGAAATGCTTTTCTACAAAAACATTTCGACAAAGTGACTTCGACGAAAAGTCTGTTGACTAAAGTGTCGTTTGACGAAAAACATATGTGATCCATTCACGTTCATTAAAAAAACGCACGAAACGACGTTTTTCATGCAACATAGTCACTTTTAGAACGTGAAAACGTTGAAAAATTGAAAAACTGAGCGTTTAAACGCGTTATTTCTAAACTCCAGAGAAAAAGAACGTTTTAACACAAAAAACTGAAATTTTCCACAGTTTTCACGCTCTAAAAGTGACTATTTTGCACAAAAAACGTTGTTTCGTGCGTTTTGTTAATAAGCATGAATGGATCACAGTCGTGGTCGCCGATTGTGCGTTTAAACGCATTTTTCAAAATTTTTGTCTGCTTGGGTATAATGTTTTGATCATACTTTTGTGTCAATTGTTGAAGGGCTTTACAGATATGAGCAACATCTGTAAAGACTCCTTTTATTTTTGACCATTATTTCACCCTACCTTTATGCTGAACTTGATTCTCACCCAAAATATAGATAGCATTGATATGTGGAATGTTATGAACGATGGAAAGAATTATTTGCTCGAAGACACCAGAAATGATCATAAATATTTTCTCTTGTTGAATATCCGTTATAAAATCGATGCATTCATCCAAATCAATGAATGAATATATCTTGCTGATAACTCCATTTAATTTGTTGATGGTATTTGTAAGCTCTTATGTATAGAACGAAAGAGACAAGCAGTGTCACTGATGTTATGTGACAGAACGATGAAAAAGATGACCTTCATGGGAATCGAACCCATACCTTCTGCTATCCGGGCAGTTGTCCTAAGCCAATTAGACTAGAAGGCACATCTTAATCATCGTTTAGCGTTAGTGTGATCCATCACTGACGCTAACAGTATTGATATAATCATTGTTATTCCTGTGAAGAATATTGACATCTCACTACATGAGTAAGAAGTTCTGAACTATACGAGCATATGGAAGCTGTCGTAGGTTTATGCTCATATGTTCAATTTTTGCAGCAGAAGCTGGAGTACCGGTTGTTATTGTCGACTTTTTCGTTTTATTCATAGTGTGTATGGTGTTTTTTCGATGAAAGAATAAAATGAGCTGAATTTATATAGTATGTTAAAATTTTTTCTAGCTGTTTCTATATGTTTCTGATTGTTATTGTGGTTGAAGTTCTGTTTAGCTTCACGTAGGTACTTCATTCCTTTTTCTTATCTGTTGTTATCTGTAGTGTTAGGAGAAAACAAAAGAACGAAAAATAAAAGAAATTCATTGCAATATAATTTTATTCGTTGTGTCACATTTCACTTTCTGTTATCATGTCTGGAAGTTTTGGGATGTGGACAAAGATAATAATACGCTCATCGACGCACACTCACGCCGACATCCTTTGAGGCACTATTTATAAGGAAATGGAACGTTCTTGAAAAAATTGGAACAAAAAAAATGATATCGATTTGATCCTGATACTTTCAGTTCGAGTTTGAGCGAGTATTTTCTGAGTTTCCGTGTTGGAGGTCACCACGATACAAAATGAAAACTTTTGATGCGCACGTCGAGAAAGCTAACTCATAAAGGATGATAGAAATCGTGTGCTTCGCAACGCATTAATAAGACAGATCGTTTCTCTAACGATCGATTATCCTTAGAAAATAACTATAATCTGCGAGTGATGTTTCACTTAGCATATTTTTTGTATTAGCATAACCAGACTAAAGAACATATATAAATTCTACGTTTTAACCCCTTTGGGCTGCGCTGCCAAGCTTTTTTTTTAAATGAATTTATTAATTTCTTTTCAAACGATTCTTATTATTTAATTAATAATACTTTTAATCCAAGTTAGATAAGCTGAAACTTTGACATAAATATTTGGTGGAAAATCTCCATTTGTTTTACAATCATCCACAAAACTAGCTACACCTTGTACAATCCATTGATCATTATATTGTTGTAATAAAGGACCACCACTATCACCTTGACATGCTGAATCACCAGAAACAATTTGTCCAACACAAATTTGATTTTCTTCATCAAATAGATTCCAAAATCGATGACATTCGCCAATAACTTTAACTTGAGCTTGTTTTAATTCATCATATGGATTTCCACCCATTTGTTCTGCTCCCCATCCAATTAAAATCACATCAGAATTAGAAGGAGGATCAGGACCAGGTAGACATGCTGGTTGAACATATTTATTAAATTCTACAGGTTTGCTCAATTGAAGAATAGCCAAATCGTTTGCTAATGTTTCACTATTCCAATCAGGATGTAAAAAAATACGAGCAACTTTTTTTTCTTGTCTTGTATTTGATTCATCAATTTGTCTATTATGAACACCAGCTGTAATTAGAATATGTTCAACATTTTTTCCTCTAATACAATGTGCTGCTGTAAGTACATGATATGAATCAAGTAAAGTACCACCACAAGTTTCTATACATATTCTATTTGTTTCACATGGTTTTTCTTCTTCATACAAAACTTGCTAATATTTGAAGAAAATTAAATAATTTTCTTTTTTTTTTAGAAATTGTAACTTACCCATGGCCATGAATGTGGTATAGCACGTGCTCCACCAAAAATACGCGTAAATTGCAATGATGGCTTTATTTGTGTTCGACCACATGTATGACTATCGATAGGTCTTGGTGTTGTTGTAGTTGTTGTGATAAAATCACTATTTGCACAACAAAATCGTACTCGAAAATCAACACCAGGAGTACGTGAAATACATGCAGTAATTATACCATTCGTTGCTTTCCATGAGACTGCATAATTAATATCGATTTTAAGTGCACTTACTGTTTGAGCTTGGATACCTTTAGGTATAGCACATATATCACGACCATTTTCTGCTTGAATTTTTGAGAGAAGTTCTTGATCAAAATCTATATCATTTTTTGGTTGAAATGAATTAAACCATTCTGTCCACGAATAGTCACCTTTACAAGTTGAATCAGTTAAACTATTCGGATAGAAAAAAGATACTGATGGAATAGCTTGTATTAATGAATTGCATACGAATGTAGATATAACTAGTAAAAGTAACATGATTCAAAAATGAATATAGATATTTGTTTTTTTGTTTTTACAATAACAAAAAAAATCGATAAGTAATATGTAATATGAAACTAGTGTGTATTGATCAATATAACAGGTGACGCAGATTAAACGGGACAATATCATTTTCTTTGTTTTTTAGGCGCTCGAGTACACTTTCAGAAAGTCATTCGATAGAGAAGTTTTTACTCTTCAAAACCGTTACGTTTGTTTTTCAAGTAAGTTTTTTTTTTGTTAGAGCAATACTTAAACTATTAACATTTGCTCAACTGTCCAATTGCGATCATCAAAAGAAATGGAAAAATAATGCAAAGTTTTTTATAATAACGATTTTCTGAAATGTCCAATATGCCACTGGATTCTCCATAAAATTCGGCATCCTGTGATATATATTTCAGAAGAAATACTTGCAAGAATAATCAGGAAGTAAAAAATTAAAAAAACCTTATCTGACAAGATTACGTTATTGTTCTTTATTATTTCTATACGATCTAAACTCCTCATACAGTAAAAGACTTCTGGTATTTTATTATGTTTTAGCGCACAGACTTTTTAGAGGTGTCTTCTAATATGAATTCCTATCCATAAAGGACCGAATATCATTATTACTATTTAGTTAGTTCACTCTGATTATGTTTCAAATACAAGGTAAAAAAAAACAGAATTACAATTGAATTTCACTTTTTCATAAATTGATTTAGATTGAGCTGTTGGATTTTGTTACTGTTGATGACATTTAACAGATATGAATCGTTACTATCGTTTTCTTTTCATTATATTCTTTTTCTTTATTGATATCATCACTATTATCGTCTTCGAATTCTATTTGATAATATGTCGATAAACGTACTAATTCATTTTCACATTCATCAATGGTCGAAGTTTGAATCATTATTCGAACTGTTACAATTATCAAAATTTGAATCTTCATCGTTCCAAGGGAATGCATTAATGTTCTTTCCTCCATATTTTATATATCCACTAAATATATTTTACTATTGATACAAATGAAGTTTAATATTAATCGTTCTCTCTTTCTCGCATCATTTATACCTCTCTCATTTTCACTCTAGTTGATAATAGCTTTTTTCATTCTCCGACGAACATCTTCTAGTATGTGAGTGGTTTAATCATTTGTTTTCTTCAACTTAGCAATCGTAACAGGTTCATAAATATAACATCAGGAATCTTGAAAAGATCATAGAAACATAGAGCACAACATTCTGTATCCATTGATACTAACTGTGTTACATTTTAAATTAGTCTTCATGAACAAAGATTCACACAAATTGATAATATCATAGTTAGACGATTAAACAAACGTTTATATTTTAAATTGTACGTCAACAAGAAAATTTAATATGAAAAACAAACGAAATAGTTTCGTCGAGTGAAAAATTCTCTATCGAATAACTTTCTGAAAGTGTATCGGAATGATCCTAAAAACGGCATTATATTGTCTCATTTAATCTGTGCCACCTGTTAGATTAATTTCTAATAGTTACATATAATATTGGCAAAAAAAACAATGATTCTATGCGTCATATGACAAATAGTTTTTTTTTTTTTATTATAAACAATTGAGTCATTCGAAAGAAGCAAAGGAAAAGATTATTTTTTTAATACCCAACAAAAAAAAATCAATTGATGATTTATTCATTTAGAGTATCTTCATATCCAAGAAGCATTTTTCCTTCTTGAATTATTGCAAGTTCATTTCCATTGGCATCTTGATTATTAATTTGTTCATTAAATGCTGCACGTTTTTCACTGATGATTTTTTTATAGATTGTTTTTCGTTCATTAACAAGTTGTGTAACATTTGCTTGAACATCAAGTGTATTTCTTTCAAGTTCACTAAGTAATCTTTGTCGTTCATTATCATTTTCAGCTGTTAACATAAGTGAAAGACCAGCAAGACGTGGCATAAGATGTTGTTTTGATACATCAAAATACGTACGTGCCATCATAAAAAGTGTATATGATTCATGATAAAGATTAATTGAATTACCATTTAAAAGTTCTAACATAAGAATACGATCAATTTCAGTTTTTTCTAAATCAATATTAATACGTGTTGTATCAAGAAATGTTTTAAGTGTTTCATCAAAGCCAGTTGTAACTTGTGCTGAAAAATTTGTAAAAAATTCAACTAATTTATGCCAATGTTGACGTAAAAGACCAAGTAAACGTAATGCTTCACGTAACATTTCAAGAATTTGTTTAAAATGAATAAATGTTAAATCAAGATTAGCTAATTTTGCTGTTAATACACGCATTTGTTCCATAGCTGCTGCATACGTAGCATATTGTTGATCAAGACGCTTTTCTGTCTCGGATAGACGTATTTGAGCTAATTGAGCTTTTAATAATTCATTTTTTGATGAATCATCTTTTGTCGGTATAGAAATTGGTACATTATTACTACTAGAAAGTTGTTCAGCAGCTATAAATGGTTTAACTTCATCAGCTAAAACTTCTAATTGATTTTTAATATCGGAATTCTTATCATTTATACCTTCATCAACTGAATCAATAGCACGTTGAATAAGTTGAGCTGCTTTCATTTTCGGTTTACTATTTGGAATCTTATTAATCATCTTGGCAAATGTTTCAAATATAACTTTAAAACTTTGAAATTCTTGTTCACCTAAAGTTTGATTTTCACTGGAAGATATTCGTTCAATTAATGAATCAAGTGATTGAGCAAAACGTGAAGCAAAATTTAATATTTGATTGTTAGCAAATGATTCAGCACCATTATTTCCAGAAGTTTGTTGAATTGATGGACTAAATCCTTTCATATGATTTGAACTAAAACTATTTGAAAATGATTTAACTAATCCAATAAAAGCTCGACCTAATTCAAGACCAAGTGCTTTAAAACCAGTTGGAATATCACTAAGTGCACGAGAATATTCTGCTTGTGCATTACGTACAGCTTGACGAATTTCTTCATAATGTTGATGACGAATTTCTTCTTCACGTTTCATATCAGCATGAATAATATGTGTAACATTTAATTCAATAGTTTTATCATTTAAATCTTTTTCATGTAAACCTCGTGTTACTTCTGTTGCTTCTAATACTTCACCAAGAAGATCCATAATAGTAACAAATGAATTTTCTGTACCACGTGATAATGTTACACATGTTTGACCAATACGTTCTATATTATTTATTACTTTTGGTAATAATCGACTGACAAGACTTGTTGAAGCTTTACTTGATAATAGTCTAATTATAGTTTTAATATGTTGAGGAATTTGTTGCATATATAATTGAATTTTATTCATAGATGTATGAGCACCAAGAAAAGCTCGATAACCATCTAAATATAATAAATATGTATATTAATAGAAAAGAAAAATATATTTTGCAAAAAAAGAAACTCTACCGTTTGAGATTTGTAAAAGAGTTGCACGAAATGATTTTGGATATTTGATGTGTTGGTAGACACGATTAGGTGAATAATGATCAAATGAAACATCTACTCTGCTTGCAACAACCATGACTTGACCGAGTAGATTAATAGTAGCCGGTGCCGTAATCATACAATCTTCCCATGCTTTATCGATAGTAGTTTGATCCATCAATGGGTCAATATTTGATGAAATTACACTTAAATCTGTAGGTGTCAGCTGTTGAGAGCCGAGAATAATAGAAACACATAAAAAACAAACTATGATTATCATCTAAAAAAAAAAAGAAAGAAAAATTTATTTATTTTTTTGATATTTAAATACAAGTAATGTTTGTATCTTCCACTATAATTTCATTTAGTGGCATTTTAGGCATTTTTTCCTTTAAAAATTTTACATTTTCTAAAACTTTTGTTATCGTTTCAGATGAAATTTCAAAATTAAAAGAATTCATCACATTATTTGTAATCATTTCATTATAAATTGTATGAAGTGGCACAATAACAAGTTCAAAATTAATTAATTGACTTATGGCATCTTCAAGGACAATCGATGAAGCTAATACATCTTTCAAATGTATTTCAATACTTTTAAATTGTTTAATAAGTGATGTTATAATTATCTGTTTTGCTTTTTGTTCATTAAGTTGATTTGTAAGAATATTTAATTGAGAATTTGCTTCATTTAATTGTGTTTGAACTGTTGTATGTTGTGTTCGTTGATGAACTAAATTTTGTTGATATTGCGTAAGACGTTGTTGAGCTTCACGAAATGTATGTTCAGCTAATGCTCGTCGATTTTTAGCATTATCAATACCTCCTGAATTAATAACACTACATACAGGTTTAATAGCTGTTTGACGAATAACATGAACAAAAGGTTTTTCAACTTTCTTTCTCCACCATTTACCAAAACCACGTTTTCGACGTCGTCGACCACATAAACGAGCGCGTTCAACTGCTTTTTGTGCTTCATGCATATCATGTTCGGCTGCATTCAAGGCATTTTGTTTATCTCGAACAGTATTTTCAGCTGTTGTAACTTGTTGTTGAGCATGTTCAATATTGATATTTGCTTGATTAACAGATTGTTGACTTTCGTGTACTTTATTTTCTTGATTAACAATTGAAAGAACAAGTTGAGCTATTTGTTCATCAAGTGAATTACGAATTTGTTCACTAGCTTTAGTTGCTTCACTTAATTTATTTTGTACATTTCGACTAGCACATACCAGTGAATCAACTAATGTTCGTATTGTTGTTTGATTACTGTCAATATTTATTGTTAATAATTGTTGAACGATTTTTTCATTTAATATTGTATAAGCTGCATGATATGGTGGAATAACTGTACCGACTATTTGAGTTTTATACCAAGAAGACACATTTGTTTGTTCACTTCGACCTAGACGAATAATCAAACACCAGCAAATGAAGAAGAAGTAAATCATTTGTAAAATGTTCGTTCGATTTCTTATTGTTATGAAAATAATGTAAAATATTTGTGCTTTTATATTTATTTAACACAAAGAAAAAATATATCATTTTTCAAAATATGAAAAATAATGACGAACTCATTGAAACACATGTCGAAGTGGTCATGTTGGGAATTGAAGACAACGTATGAGTCAGAATGAATGAAGATAGTGACGAGGGAAAATAACCACTGCCATTGTAATAGATAAAAAAAAAAGGAAGACGATTTATCAATAATAAACGGATCATTTTAATGTAAACATATTAAATTTCACATAGAAAGTCAGAGGACATGTTTTTTTGCACAATAAGTCTTTTATCGATCTAATATCATATTAGAAACTAAATTCAGATGTGGTCTCTATTATGGTAAGATCAAATATGTATGTGATATTGTCCCGTCGTATTAAAATTTTTAAATAAATTATAGTGGATATATATTTTCTTTTCTATTGATTTCATATCAATATAACTCTAAGACAGAATGTAGTGTATAGATAGTTGAACACAAGAACAAACCTTAGAAAGAACGAAGAGATAATAAGTTGAAGTATAAATATTATCAGAAGTATATATTTATTTATTTATTCATAGTCGAATAGTAGTATCGTCAAACGTTTGTATTCACTTTTTGAGTTTGTTTGAATAATTCTACGTTCTTCTGCTTCGACACTATCATCAAGAAGTCAATAGTTTTTTGTTTTTTACTTCAAAGAGAAAAGAATCATAAGGCAGGTTTCCATTCGAAAATTATATACAGCTTGAAGATGTTCGACGATCACATGATTAGTTCCACTCTTTCCTTCTTAATAATCACATGCAAAATTTTCGAACGTGGACTCGGTTAACGGAAAATTTTGTAACCCTACCGTACTCTCCAAATGTCTAGTCGGATCTGAAACCAATTCAACGTGGTATAATATCGATAGTCCATTGTGATTCTGCTCAAATGTCAAATCATAAATTTTATTCATGTCTATAACTTCAATATTTTATGATCCTTCCATTAGTCGCTGTAGCCCTTCCCTAACCCTATGTGATCAAAAGTGATATTTTCGGGAGCCTCTCTCTTCCTAATTGATTGGGCGACTTTTGAGCAGCTCGTTGCCTTAAAAAGATCTCCAAAAGTCTTGTGAGATATTTCGAATGATGTAAAAGCCAATGTGACTCAATGTAGATAGGCAACCAAATATGGCTACAGTTTGTATTTGTCGATTCGATATATTTAAACTGATTATTCTGAAGATATAATTCGAAGATATCCTTCTACATATATAGATATATGTAAAACATTCACTAGTGACGAGTTTTTACACAAAATATTGAATATAAATTTATTTTTCATTACAAGTACGTCTTGTAATTTTTATATGCATGATAACTAATTTATGAAAACGTGTTTATTACGATAAATATATTAGCTATATGTAGAAAAAAAAGAATTTTTGAAAAAAATTTTTTTGTTTCAGAGCATATAAAAAAATCCACATGGTCCATATTAATTTTGATTGGAAACATTTACAATCAGAAGTCAAATCGACATAAACAAATATATTGAATAATTAGATTACAATTTCTTATAATCTTATATTTTCAACTTCCGATTCAAAACTAGGTGATACATCCATTTCTTTCGAAACTGTTGTATTATTTATTGGCATTTTATTATAACTTTTTTCTCGTAGTTCAGATTGCTCGAATGATGATTCTGTTCCGATAGTAATTGGAATGCTTAAATGCATTTCCTGATTCCATTTATCAACTTTTACTTCCAACTTCAGTTCATAGTGAATATTAGTACGAATCGATAAACCAGAAGATGATACCGTATAATTACACGTAGGTGGTAGACGATCAGAAGGTATATCTATATTAAAAGTTTCATGAAATTCTATTTCCATAAAATCTTTTGGAACAGGTAAATCCATTTTAAAAATAACTTCAGCATGATGATTTTGAGCAATTTCTCGATGTTGAATTAATCTTGCTTCAATTCCTTTTATTTTTAATTGTTTATGATTTTTAAGATCAATATCAAGAGAAATCTGTTCACCAGGTATAATACTTCGAGGACTTAAACAGGCATCAAAATGTAAATGTTTTCGATGTCGATGAGGCACAGCAATAGGTTGTCTATTTTCATTATTAAAAGTATTAATATGTGGAAAAATTATCAATGGATAAGTTTGTGTTTTACTTAATTTGTACCACGGTTGGTCAAAAGTAATACGTACATAATATTTTATATAAGGACATGTATCTGTTAATGAACCTGATGATGGTGGTAAATGCTCAGGAAGAGTAAATTCAAATGGCCATGAATATTGACCAGGCTCAAGAGTTATTTTATTCTAGAAATACAATAAAAATTACATAGGGATCTCGCTCTTTATTTGACTTTTATTCAAATTCCTACCTGATTATCTTCCGAATGAGTAAATTGAAGATGAGTATTTATAAATAGTAATTGATGGTCACCTGTAAGATTTTCTAATTGTAAATTACCTATACTATCATGAGAATGATGTGTTCTTTGTCCTGTATAGCCGACTTCACCAATAAATGCAAGTGAAACATTAGTTAAAGTTAACTTTTTCTCAGGATTATTAAGTGAAATAGTTCCAGATACTTTTTCACCAGCATAATAAAATGAATCCGAATGATTGAAATTTACATTAATTGTCGTACTCTTCCCTATCCCCATGATTTTTTTTGAATGACTGACTGTAATAGATATGTTACCGTTACTATCGAAAAAAAAACGTAGCCTTCTATCTATCTGTTGTAAGAAAAAAAAACAACAATAGTCACATAGAAAAAAAATCAGCGTTTCTATTTCTCTCGTTAAAAGATAGTTGGCGTGTCACACAGGTACAAGAAACAAGTAACAAACAACTAAACTGCATATTTACGTAGTTTGTATTATTAAAGCATGTGTCTATGCAATGACCAATAAATGAAAATATTATTATGGCGTAAATAAAAGTAATTATAATGATCTAATATCGCAAGTCATCGAACCGAATCATAAACATAATAAATGAAACGTTAAAAAAAAGTGTATTTACAAAATACATTATTATGCCAGGGAGAAACAATCAAAACAAGTTTTTTTTTTAATTTTCTATTATCTTTAGATCAAAAAAATCTGTGTAATCAAAAACATCATGTTTTTTTGTAATTATTATGGTAGGCCTCATTCTCTAAATGTACAAATCGCCCTCTCTTAACAACGAAGTTCCACCTATAGAATAAAATCATAACAAAATACTTCAAATCAAGATACAAAACGTTCAAAACGACACCTTTTTCAATAGATGATTTTTGTTTTATTTGTTTAATTAAATTCGTTTTTCTCTCCAATTTAAAATTGATAAAAAAATCACCTATCTCTCTCTTGCGATTATACTATGAATTGTTGTTTGAATGAATACTATCAATTAGTTCTATTCATAATCAAGGAAGAAGCTTGATAGAAAACATTTGAAAATTTATGATAATCATTTAGTATTTTCCTTTTGATTGATTTATCAATATAAAATTAAACTATTAATGCATCATTCTACTAGTAAAATTATTGAAACTTTTTTTTTTTTTATAAAAAGTAATTAAAAAATAATAAAAATTATGATTACTGCATATGGATAAATAGTTTAATTATAGACTTCAAGACTACATAAGATTTTAAATGAAATCAATTAAAGAAGGTCATTATTAATTTTATTTATGATACTGGTTATCTTTCTGTCTAGATTAATTTATTTGATAACATGAAATAAATAAGTATAGAACGCATACAATAAAATAATCTATATTAATAGAATAAAATAAACTATATTAAATCTTGAATAGATGTTGGCGTTTCGGTTAGAATTGACTTTTGTCAGAACATTTTTGTCACATAAAAACAGAGGCCTATTTAACGGAAAAACCTCAGACTCGGACGTGATCGAGTGCGGGACTAACCCGACTGACTATAGTAACTGTCGCCATGAAGTGCTAATATTTTGGGTGCTTACATGTGCCAAGAAATCCTAATTGCAGGCATCAACCAATCTTCCATCGGTTCACATGTACTGAAGTTATGATTTAGATATAATCTTCCTCTTATGATCATCTTATTTCAAACATACAGGGACAAATGTTTTCGTTCAATCTCTCATTTCAAATACCATTATTGTAACTATCTCTGATTCGAGTTGTCTTAGAAATAACTAAAATATTGTCTTTTCATGAGAAATGTTGATTGAAAAGTAAATACTGGTTTTTAGTAAGATGGATCTTTCCCGTGATGATTTTAACCAATTCATTTGAAAAGTTTAGTAGATAGATTTCATAAGACCATAAGTCTGTTCTGAAAGTTCTAGAGCTGTAGCATTGAATAAAGTCGAGTTAGAGCTACGATATGAGTTCAATATCTCACAGCATGCTAATTATTAAGATCTTATCTATATCATAGACTTTAGTGATAATAAAGTAGACATATGGGACATATCATAAAGAAATTCTATATATACATAATGAATAGCAGGAACATGTGATTAACTAAACTATTGTCTTGTGTATACGTACATAGGTAACACAAGATGAAGAACTAATAAAATTAGAAGTTCAATGTAATTTCATATCAGTAAATTCTTGAAATCTACGCATAGCTATTTGCAATATATTTTGATTCTATTGATTTGAGTCGGTTTGTTGATGTTGTATAAATGTTATTTTAAGACATTCAAATTTCTACTTATTTTGAATCTTCAAAAGAAATTTTTCATTCAAAAAAGAATCCTTTTTCTGATGAAAATTAACGTGTAATCGAACACTCTTATAATTATGATTAAGAAGAACAATTATATTATTGTATATCTTGTATATGAGAAAGGTTGAATTACTTTTAATAAATTAATTTATTTTATATATAGAATCTTGAAAAGGAATATATTTAAATAGTCAATAATATTGATTACAAAAATGAATT